ATGATGAGCATTGTGGAGCTTTTCTTATATCCACAGCATCGGTCGAGAGGGGCTTCAGTGCCATAAAGTGAACAAAGACTGACTGGAGAGGGCAACGTGAGTGTTCACACACTGACAAGGTTGCTCTTCATTAGCCTGGAGGGTCAAGACAGCACTTCAGTGCTATGCCAGTAGTGAAGAGGTGGCTCAAGGAGGCAGAAAGGAGGAGCCTGCAGTGAAAGATTCACAGCTCTCAACAAATGTATTTATATGAATGAAATCAAAAAATATATTCCAATCTTTGAAATGTTATAATAAGAAAATGATTCTGTTCTTTGTTGTTTGGATGAATTATTAGAATGTATAAATCAATAATGTAACAGTTAAGGAAACACACAAGTAAAAATATACAAGGGGCCAGTAAAACTCTGATCTATTTGCACAGATATGGGGGAAATGTTACGCTGGATATTGCCATATTAATTATATTATCACAGGTTTTAATTTTGCTTCTTAAACAGCGGCACACACATGACATGATATTCATCCCTACTTTTAATGAAATGTCAAAAGCTTCACAGCACTTGACATCACACCCCTAGTCTAATTTATAACATATAACAAACACTTGCTTTGGGTTTTCATTTCACATGTTATCAGGGGAGAGCGCGAACGCAGTCCCCCACTACCAGAAATTATGCAGTCGAGATTCCCACATTTGGGGAATTCGCAGAGGTCAGCTCAACCGGAGTGCAATGGCTAAGCCTCACCCTGGGTGAACCACCTTCTTGATCATGGTATCTCCCCTGCCAGGTAAGTATGAGTTGTACAGATCAGAGACGAGGGGTCTTTCACAGACATACCATGCAGACTGAGGGTGCTGACCATCTATAAATTACCTAAACCAGAGGCTATGGGTTGTGTGTGAATCTGCAGTACTTTAATACAGAAGAAACATTTCTGTATTAAGGCTGAAAACGATTATTTACATTTTACTTTACAAATAATGGCTACATTTCCCAGCATGCAATGCTGTATTTCCACATCTAAAGCTAACCTAAAATCACTAGTTGTATCTATTTACCGCAAACAAATGAGTCCAGCCAACAGCAAGTTCAAGTGAGTCAAAGCTGAATCATATTGTAATCAAAAGTAGTTTGATTCACATTTGTAATTCAGAGAAAAGAATAAAAACACATACACCAGACTTTCCTCCCCCCTCACATTTCAACCACTTCCTCTTTCTTTGTTCACTGATGGTGAGCAACTGACATTCCAGCTACTGCCACCTACTGCTCTGGAGTGTGAACAACACTGGCCATGCTGTTTTGTAGAACACAATACAGTTCAACACGACAATAAACTGCAGCCTTCAAAATGATCATGCAGTTGAAGTAATACTTCTCTAAAACTTTTAAAGAGAGGATTTATTACAGGACTGTTATATTAGGCTGCATTAGTTTTAACTAAGTGTGCGTAACAAACTGGCAAATGACCAAGCTGTTGCTATGTATATGGTTAACAGCAACAACATACATCCTGTAACAGGATCAGCTGTGTAAATTGATAGATGATACATATTTATTAGTCCTTTTGGAAATTCATAGTGTGTCATACAGTAAACATTAGACCAACAACCAGACAACTGCACACAAACATCACCCGATGTTATACTAAGGTGCAGCTCCCCGACACCCAATTAGCTCATGACTGTGACGTTACCACCCAAACTCATGGCCCAACCAGGCAGAGAACAAACACACACGCGTATACATTTTCAGCTGAGGATTGCAGCTCACTTTTGATAGCCTTCAACTCAACAATCATATATAATAAGTATTGCGTCATCTGATCGGCACTTCTGATTGGCCTTATAGAGACCACCAATCAGAAAACCCTAACTGAAATACCAAGTTGACACATGGAGTGGATGGAACAAGCCCCTATCCTCTTCTTTGCATCTTGTCAATTTTATATTTATATATTTTATGTTTATTATTATGCACAAAGTCACTAAAGCAAATTCTTTGTATGTGTAAACCTAATTGGCAATAAAGCTAATTCTGATATCCCTCAATAAGTAGTTAAAATGAACGTCACTTTATTCAGCCATAATATTAAAATTCTGCTTACACCCAATGTATTAGAGGTGATATATATATATTTTTTTTTTTTTCTTTTTTACATAAAAGCTCTCCTTCTAAATAATGAGTCCAATTGGCTTATATTACTTGAATACACTTATGAATGCAAAACTTAATTGCAATGGGGTATGTTGTAATATATTACTACATTAACTTGGATAACAACCTGAATTGCACTGCCTTGAACAACCATGCACCAAATATACCTGAACAGCGAACTATTAAGCTGATTTTATTTGTGAACATAGAAAGGGGGTGCACCGGTCCTGGAGATACTGCAATACCAGGTCGATGCGTGGAGTGGACGGAGCAAGCCCCTATTCCATCTCCCTGCTCCAAAAATCAATTTAATATATGGTCCCCGGGTAGGGGACGTATCAGATATTAAACTGATAAGAACAGATACTACACTTGATCTTAGCCAAAAGGCCGAGAAGCGATACTGAGAAAAGGTCAGGGATAAGGAGGTGATTCCTCGCACCGGGACTCTCACTGAGGGGTTGGAACATAAACATTTTTTAAAAACATACATTTGAGTTTAGTGCAATGTACTAGACAACATAGTACATTTGACATAATGTATCACCGGTGCTATTTTGTTGCGATATTTATATTTAACTAGTGTTTGTAAACGCGCCTTCTTGTGTGTTCCTGAACACGTGGTACGCTTTAGTCCAATCTATAGCGGACGACTAGAAACAACAAATTAAATCAAATTTATTTTTACAGACATGTCAGATATATATTATTCTTGTATATTATTTCAATTTAACTTAATGACGCGTAACGAGTTTGTGTACGTTGAGGGAAAGATTGTTTTATGATTGGTAAATACTCACTTCACAACAAACAGAGCTCCTCTACCAGTCTCTAGTGGAGAGGAGAGTTAACTGCACACTTAACGGCCTTTCGTCTCACACAAGGTGAGAAAAACTCCATAATGTAATCAATAAATAGTTATAATTTACCTGTACTCATCCAGAACAGAAGATATAACTATTCAAGGCAAATAATAACGGACTGTTTAACATTTAACCTTGCAATGTCTAATAAAAAAACCACAGGCGTTATCAGGTAAACAGCTTTGCAAAGCAAACGTTCAGTAATGACTGCAATAACCTCAACATAAACATCAACAGTGTCAATTAGTCAAAACTGTGTCCCTACACCGACACCACTCACCCGCATAGTTAAGGTTAACGTACCAACTTAAAATAGATGCAGTAAGGTCACGTTCTTGGTCAAATATCTTATCAGCAAAACCGATAACTAGGTATCAAAGTACGGGCCTGTTATTTGAATGTGCTAAATAACTTCGTGACAAACTAAGTTATGACAAACATGCACTTGAGTCCATCACAAACTCAGTTGTGAAATACAGCTAAGTAACGTAACGTTACTTATCATCATGTGGACACGAAGGTGAAGTTAATTAACATGAAGTTAACCTTAACCCGCCGTTAGCGCGGCTAGAAAAGGACTAAACAATATATAGAGAGACCGTCCACTGCCACCCTAACGAGAAGTATTGACACAACTGAGTTTTCATTCTACAAAAAAATATATAAGCAAGAAACAAAATAAATTAATGTGGACATGCTAGCTACCAATTAGCTTAAACTTGGCTAAGGTCACGTTAGCTTAACGTTCATAAAAACACGGTTGCAGCGGTGAAAAACCAAATTAAACCCGTCAACAAGTTGGCTTCTCAATTCTCCTTATGCTAATCGTTAATGTTATTATTGTATCTACAAAAAACACGTTAAGTTAGTCAATAAAAATGAACTTACTAAACGTCGTCTTCGACTCTGCTGCTCCGGTAATTACTCCTGTGTCGCACTTCCAAAACGATGTAAGCTAGTTTACGTACGAACGTGCGCAGAATTACGTAACGTCAACTGTTTACGCAGTCGTTTAGCTAGCTACACAGACGATTGTTAAATTAAATCCACGAAAACAACATGAAAGACAGTTTCGCCTGTTAAACATTTAGGTAGGCTGCAGTTTATCCTTCTATGGCCAAAATCTATTGTTGGCGCATTAATTCTGAACTTTTAAAGAAAATCCAAGCTCATTTAATTATCCTAAAATAAACTAAAAACAGCAAAAGAAATAGAATAGCTACCGTTAGCATTTTCCAATAGATATTTTTGAATTCTTAAAGTCAACTTAAATCTTTAGTTTTTGATTCTTTTTATATCAAGTTCAATATTTGGCATAGTAAGTTTTTTTGTTATACAAAATTCTTAATCGTCAAGTATTGCAGTGTAATTTATATAAATAAAGCAAAGAGTATAAATACAAGGGTTTATTTCTGATTCTGTTTGGTAGGCTAAAGTATCACATTTTTGAACTTGGGGATTGTTCATCCTTTCTAACGGCTTCGTTCAATGACAAACTCATTTACAATCAACCAAAGTCACCAAATTAATATTTCCTTCAATGAAAAGGCTCATTATTCCCCATTCCAATATGGCCATAGCAGCATATAGTATGCCTTCTAAATTGAAATGTCAGTTCATTGTTACTGTGTTTACTGTGGGTTGTGTGTCTTGGTGCATTCCTGTGAATTCAAACTTCCTGTTTGACATGTTTTGTCACAGAATGAATACTGGATGATTCAACCTATCCTGGTTTCATTTTGTGATAGTGTGTCTGCTATACAGGTCAGTGTTTGTTGGACACGGGAGGGGTAAGTAAACTGAGAAGGATATATGTCTGTTTGCGCTACAGTTTTTCTTCCCCTAAGTGTGTTTTTGTGTGTGTGTGTGAGATCACAGAACGCTGAGTACATGTTGGCTTATTAATCTCTGGCTCAACCTGTCTGATAGGTGTCGGCTGGCTGGCACTAACTTGCGCAGCTATGAAGAGAATCCAGCACAGTCCTGAGAGAGGAGGGAAACTCCAGCATTTCTTCACTTCACAGAACAAAAATAAGGAGGAAAAAGGACAGTGGAAAAGGAAAACCCTGGGAACGAGGAAAGGCTGTTTTGGAGGGAGAAAGACAGAGAAAAGAATGCTTCAGAATGTGAAATAACCTGGAGGACATTATTCTACTACAGTTCGACTAATGGGTCTGGGATTCTAATGTGGCATTTCAGGCTCTGGGATGTACAAGATGTTGCTGTGTTTCTCAGCATCGCACTTTATATGTGTCACCTAGGTAAGAATTCCAACGTATTTGACTAGTGGGTTTGAGAGCATGCATATATGGCAATCCTATATTAGTTCAGGACAAAGTCCACACGATGACGATCCAACCCTTTCAATAGGAACTTAAATAGAGAACCTGGGAAGAATGAAAACTAAAGATAGAACTTTTCTCAGGTTGCATACCATTGCTAAGTAGATCACAACACTAGTATGTACAAATGGCTGTGTACATGTAAACATCAGAATGTCCTGTTCTGCACCCAAGGTCTCAGTACCTTAGGGATCTGATTCTTTACAAACGCAAGTCAAGTTGCACAGAATAATTACACCATGTCCAGTGTCTTTGGAAATAAAATTGGCTAAACTAACACAGCTCCTAAGAGCATGTGTTAAATAGATTGGTTCACACAGATCTATGGTAAAATTTATCTATTTATCTATAGGATATCAGACTTTCCCCACGCTGTGTTGTTTCTTAGTCAGCATTGGCATTCTCAGGTGTAATTTTTTACCTTTGACTCATTAAGCAAACACACCACCAGCAGAACCAGATCCCACAATGAAACTCCTGAGAAACTATTTGATGAGGGGTGGCCAAAACAGTCACAAGGCCAGTATTACTGTTTCTATTCAAATTAGTACTTCTCAGCTTGTTTAACAAGTTTCTTTTCTACAGCACAGGATAGCACATTATATCTTTACATAGAAGTGAATGCATTAGTCACAGTGTTTAGTCAGAGACATAACTAACTGTCATGAAGGGAAAAACCTGTGAGGTCAAATATTTTATTTTTATGGAGCTGGACTGTGTTATACATTGCAGCGTTTATGCTGTAATTACTGTCCTATCTGGATAAATTGATCATTAACTAAGTGTGAAAGGTGTTTATCACGTAGTGTACAATATTTTGTGCAATCTGATGTCAAAGCTAAATCTATCTTTACCTTTACATATATAAGTTTTTGCACCATATCTTATATTATATGTGTTATATTATTATACAGATGTATGTATTTGTTTTCTTCTCCAGTATCATTTCATAGTGAATCTATATCTATATCTCTTAATTCTTTTCACTTTGGAAGCTGGAGCCATCTCCATCCATTCTCCCCAGAAGAGCCTCACCAGGTCAGTGCAGGAGGATGTGTTTTTCTCGGTGGATATTACCTGCGATGGGATCCCCACCATACAATGGACCTTTATGTCAGGAGCGGTGAGCCGCACCATAGGGACATGGCAGCCGGGGTTGTACACTAACATAACGGTGGATTACAGTAGCAGAGTGCAGCACTACAACAATGGCTCTATGGGCCTGTCAGACCTGCGCCTGGCAGATGCTGGATACTACCAGGTCACTGTCACAGAAACAGCAGGAAGCAGCAAGGATGCTGGCTTTGTCCTGAAAGTGAACGGTGAGTGCGTCTGGCATTCTGTGTGTCATTTCTACTATGTGCCTTTCAGATCTGAAAGCAGGGATTTTGAGTTATCAAAGTTATTCATCAGTAAACACAAATATTTTTCTGTCTATCTT